TCGAAGAAGTGCAGAATTGGTTGGATGAATGGTTTCGATTCAAAGACGCGTCGTTTTATCGTCGCGGTATTCATGTATTGCCAGAGAGATGGCAAAAATGTGTAGCTAGCGAGGGACGATATTTTGAATAAACCGTTTTTGTATTTCTCTTGAAATTTTCCATTTTGCATTGATAAAAAACCCGGAAACTTAGTTGCGCACCTAGTATGTACATAGCTTGAAAAGCTTCTACTATATATTGCTCTTGCAACGTATTAACATATTTTTGTATTAATGAATACTTAACTTGAAGATTATAAATATGCATCATTATTTTTTTCTCATTTTTATAGGCTTATAAAATTTCCAATAATTTTAAACAAAATATATATAAAATACTGCAATTTTTTAAAATTTTATTTTAGTATTGTTTTTCCATTCTGCAAAAACTGTTATAGGCATCAACCGTTCTTTGCCTTAACGACGCCCTTAAAGAATTACGATATACTTTACTTACCCTCTTTTCGTAAAAACCAGGTCGTAAATGTTCAGGCCATTTCACGTTAACTCTACCTGATAATTCGGATGAAACAACGTCGAGACAAATTATCGAGATAAAATAGAAATAACGGTTAATGTACAATATAATGTATAATATATAATTGTAACAAATATATACAACGAATATAGGACGAAGAAAAAGAAAAAAATACCGTAAAACAGATTTGACAAATTTATTGATCGATTGATATTGAGATTAATATTGATACGACGTTGTTACATTACACGGTCTTGTATTTCTCCGAGTTCTAATTTGAATATTAGTCGAAATGACAGTTGCTTCGAAGCAGAAAATTTACATATCTTTATGAAATTTTGATTTAATGTGATATAAAAAAAAATTCAGTTAATGGAGAATGATGTGATTCTCACATACATCGTTGGATCTAAAATTTATAAGCTCAGAAAAGATATGAGTATATTATAACAAAATAAGTTAAAGAAATTAATGAATAATGTTACATTAACATCTGGAGATTAAAATTTAATAAGCAATAATGGCAAAAAGTATAAGATAAAAATAGTGCTACTTATATAAGTGACATTAATCCGATATTAAACGTTCAATATTAATGATAACATTATTAACAATGACAAGCGGCTTAATATATTATTCATACGCGAAAGTTATGATAATTATTATGCTCTAGATTGTTGAAACATTTATCAGCATCATTTAATCCTAGAGTCACACTAAGGCATCATCATTTCCATTAATCAAGTTGTTTACTCTACATTCTCGGGGAAACGCTGACAGCGTTGGGATGTTTTCTTCCGTGCAACCTAGAATTGGCTCTGGCCCGATGGAACGTGAGCTTATCGAGTAATTCCATACGTCCTGAAGGCAGGTTATCACGACGAACACGTCTGTTCCTGTTACGCACGGAGGCTGCTTCGCGCACGTGTACGAGGCTCGATGCATCAGAATGACGTTGGCGCTCCGTTTACATTGTGCGATCACAGAATACGGTTCGGCGAAATAGCAAAGGCGCAAAGCTAACGCGATAGCAATGGCGGAATTAATGTATTCGCGTTACGCAGTGCTCATCGTATCAGCCGCGACTAGACGAATGCTAATTAGCGGAAGATATATGCCCCGTGTCTGGTAGAGAGCGCTGTCTTCTATTACTAACGCAGTAGATATTATCCACACTCGACGACTTTTGTTTCGCAGTAGTATGAGCTATTTACAAGCGCGGCAGCAGTTGCTAGAATCCATAATAATACATAATAATTGTATAACAGCGTTCACCGCTTCTTTGCGTTAAAATACGCTATTGAGTGGGAAAAATTGAACGAAAAATTACGATCTCGTTCATTCATAAGCATTATTCTGTGCCTTCTGGAGTGTTCGAGCAGACTCACATCTGCGCGAGAGTGCATTATATTTCTTGTTCCGCGTCAGGCGAACTCACGAAATAGTTGTACAATGTTCATTTACATAATTTTAACATGTAACATACAATGAGCTGACATCTTATTCCGAGTTTAGTAAGATTCTGTAATTATAACAAGAAGCATAACTTGCGAATAACAGTAGTAAACGACAGTTCTATGTGCAACTTTCAATATCTCACAATTTTACAAAATATTTTTCCGTAAATGTATGGAATAATTTGAAAAAAATTCGAAAAGCAAAAGTAATAATGAAAAATTGGACACAACGGCGAACGGCAACGTAAAAGCCTGCGAGAATACAGAGGTACAAACACTGTCGTGTTATGCAAAGTGTCACAGCGGGGAGCAGTTAGCTGCTCCGCAATTTGCTAACATATGAATTCTGCGCGGCTTCGCGCCCATTAACTAACGGTAATGATCCGACAGAAATAGTTTCGCGCATCTACTTTGTCGAGCGACAAACTGTAATGGTGATGCACAAGCCGAGTAATTTAATATAGCGTATAATTCAGACGAAATCGGGACCCTGAAACCTGTTACCGCGTCTGGTTAAAGCAGCCGTGAAAACGGATCTACGAGCAGCTATAATAGCCGTTGCCAAGTTTTCGGCTGTGTTACGGCGATGTTCGAATCACCGGCTGGTCCGACTAATGAGTAATTAGACCACCGGGCGTTGCGTTCAATTTTAAGACTCCCGTCGTAGCCACGTTAAGATAATAAGCTCTGGCTACAGGTTTCGTGAAATCATATATCCCCTTGTTATGAATAACAATATAACTTTGTGTTCGAAGATGCCTGAGAACCTCTTTAACCGACAGGCATCGGGATCAAGCTTCGTCAATACATAAACAGCGTTGTGCGTCGTAAATTCAATCATACGAAAGCAATAAAATAAAGCAACGGATTACCATCTTACTAATCTGGCTAAAAAAAAATGTGACGCATGATTGGAATTCAATATTGCGATAATCTATAACGGAGTTTAATTAAATAACTGTCGATAGAATATGAATTTAATTACACTCAAAGTAACAGGTAATGATATAACTTAATCTAAAAATGTGGAGCATACTGGAAATCAATAAATTTGACAGTTAATATTAGACAGTCGTAAAAATACTTGTCGGTTACCAAAAACAGTTGTATATACACGGAAAAAATTTTGCTACCGCAGCGAAATCGTTGCTATTGCACATTAGATGTGACAGCGACACAAAACTTTGCTACTATAATTAATTTTTCAAATTATTCAATATGTCAGCAAAATCTATTTTGCTGGTAGAATAGATGAATTTTGCTGAGTACATTTGCTTCATAAAGACACATTAATTTGCTGTTACAACAAGATAATTTATTTCTAACAAATGCGTTTTACTAATGCAGCAAAATTATCGCTGCCAATGTAAATTTTAATAGCAAAGTAAAAATCAATTTATTATAATAGTGATTTGCAGATTTAGCAAAATTATTTGCAATAAATAAAATTAGCATGCATAACAAATCTCTTTGCTATCCATATAATAACTAATATGTTTTGCTATAACAGCGTAAAATTTGCCGCGTCAACAAATTCTTTTTTCCGTGTATATAATTATTATGCAAATAAATAGAAGATACAGAATCGCATCAGAATTACTTACTGTAATTCGATGTTCAAAGTGATGTCTTTAATTAATCGCAATATTATTAGATAAATATTATCTGCATGGTAAATAATACTGTTACAATTTATTTAATGAAACACGAGATATGCTTTACCCTACGAGATATGCTTTACTTTGCTAGCTATTTATATTTCATCCAGTTGTTTTGAAATCGTTATAAAAAATATAATAAAAATAATGTGGTAATTTACAATAACTGCTCACCTGAATCGTTGAATGACGCAAATGTTCTCATGTCGAAGAACATCAAAATAATTATGCTTTAAATCGTAATTAACATACATTGTAATCGTACAATATTTAATTATTAGACATTTTAAATCAAACTAATTGCGTCTTAAAAACCGTAAGTATACATAATTTATTTTCACGAATATGAAATTATAGATTAAAAGAAAGGAATAGTAGATATCTAGTCTTCTTTACATATTTAATTTAAGTACACTGTCGTGATATACAGTATATATGTATACCGTTACGATTAAATCGATGTATGTATACCGTCTAAACGCAAGGTAATTCCCCGTGAAGAAGCAGCTGCACAATTAGTCCCTAAACAGGCGGTGTGGACTTTAGACTTAAAATGCGCAACCAGGAAGAGTTTGTCCTAAATTTAATCATAGTTTTACCGCGACCGTGTACGTCATGCATTCTATCTGACAAATCTAGTGAAATCCGCAACGATGAAAATGTACACATATACGTTTATAGAGAGATATCATATTTATTTTACGCCACAAAAGCATCCGACAAGCTAGGTCGATGTTGGAAATGCCGCTCGCGCAAGACAATCCAATTTCAGTACCCGTTTAATGTGTATTCTTGAATTAAGACAAATATTCGCGTTCGTGTTCTGCAGACTTGCATCCTTTTCTTTTGCAAGTATGTATGCGCCTTGAGGTTTCATCAACAGTTACATCGCAGTAGTAACAGTATATCGGCGCCGCTGCGGCAGGCGATACGAGACGCATAGTCACGAATGAAGGAGGCAGAGAGGAAGGACAAGGTGAGTGTGAGGGGTGAGGGGATAACGCGAGAGAGTCCAGAGATGGAGAGAGAGAGAGTAAAGGAAGAAGAGAGAATATGAAGCGCGTAGCGGACGAACACGGTAGAGGGAGGGAGAGACTACCGGTACGGTGAGTGAAAATAGAATAAGAGGAGAGCAGGTAACGGGAGGACGAAAGCGGGTGGGGGGTCGCAGGGGGAGGAGAGTTTCCTCCTTTTCAACCCCCGTGTTGCCGCGTACCGCGCAGAGCGGGCGCGTAGGTATACGTACACACTAGGCGTCTATATTTTATATCCGGTGTACCCGAGTTGTCGCTAGGGCGCAGACTCGAGCCAATCGGGGTCGGTCGGCTTGCCAGTTACTTTTCGCGATCCACCGTGGCCGCTCTTCCGCGGCGCAGGTAGACAGACGGGCGACAGTCAGTTAGTCAGTCGGTGAGACCGGGGACGGAAGGGTGTAAGAGGATCGGCGAGAGAGTAAGGGGAGGAAAAAAAAATAAATAGCAAAAGGTAAAAGAAAACCGCGAGCGGGAGCGAAAAGGGGTGAAAACAGTGGCATACAAAGAAAGGCAAAAAGAAGGCGGGAGGGTGAAAAGCACGGGAAATACGGCGGGAAGGAGAGGAAGATAGAGGGTAAGAGAGAAGATCGTAGGTGCGCTGGCCCCCCGTACCGGAGTCCGCATTCGCCGCACAAAAGCACAACTTGCGCACTGTTGCACCGCGTTACCAAGCTACTGCGCGAGCAACCGAACTGTGCCGCTCGGCCACCCCTGCCGAGCAGTCGAGTGCTTTCGTGCGGGGTGTTTACGTCGTCGCGCGGGATAAACACACACGTTGTCGCGGCTCGCTCTTGTAGCTCTGTCCTACGCACTCCTGCTCCCCTTTCTCTTTCGATCGGCGTGGATCAGCTGGAACGTTGACGCTCGGTCCATCGCCCTCGCGTAGCTCGAGTGGACGTCCTACGTCGTGCGGATGTGAGAAAACAGTTTCGCGGAGACGAGCGTGATTGCTGATCGCCGACCGTGATCAAACGCGGCAAAGCTACGCGCGTACGGATACGGTAGAACGGTAGAATGTCCAATTTGAACTACTAATCACTTCGGCTTTAGCGCTCACCCACGGATTACAGAGACAGCTTTCTTCACCGAACCGTGACAGTTCAGACCGTTGTTGCCGTATTTACGTAAATGCGTTTCGAGTAAGTCCGTAAATTTCGCGACTTGGAACTTTATATCGCGTTGTGGCAGTCACGTTGGCGTGGCGTGCTCGCGAGAAATTGGGAGATTAGGATCGCTAGCTCGGGGGATTCGCTAAATCGACGGGGTAGAGAAGCGGTGGCGGCGGGCACCGTGACAGTGCAGCAGTGTGCGACGAAGGCTGCAATGATACGTGACTGACTTAACCCTGAGCTCGCTTTCGTATGTATATACGTCGGTACAGCTTCGAGTGGAACTCTCACGTTACCGCGAATTGAACCGCGTGAGTGGAACGCGGCAGGGAAAGAGACGGAGAAAGAGAGACAGAGAGAGACACGTTGATCTCGTCATTGTTCGCGCTGGATGTCACTACGTCATCGCGTTGTAAGGTGTACGTGTGCGGACGTACGTAATCGTCGTTTGTGCCTGACGTACACTCGCGCGGCAAAGTGACTACCCCGAAGTGCAGCGGTGATAAGAAGATACAGCCACGCGACGTGATCGTTAGCATAAATGACAAGCGGAGCCAGGGCATCGAACTGAGGTGAGTCCCGTTTTTGTGTCCCGTATCGCGCCCGCACGGCTATAGATAGCCGTGCCTCCGATGCATCGGTCGATGATTTCCACGACCGATTTCAGAATTGGACGTAATATCTTGGCTGGTACATAGGATTTAATTAAAGGGAATAGGTCGGCACCGCCACATTAATCGTGCGAGTTCGGGCAAATGAAATTATAATCGAACGTCGGGCTGGGTCTCGAATTACGCGCCGCGGAGATAGAACCTCGGGGCGCTTGTGCTTCTGGTGTTATCGTGCTCCCCCTCTGGAGACCTTTCCGCCCTGCTCCCGGTACGTAATGAAAATTCAAGAAAACTCGAGAACTTTTCATACATTAAAATCCAACTGTTGTGCGGATGCGTGCGGAGATGCTTTTCGTATTTATATGAAGCTACGTGGACGCAGACGATTACAATATATAGCTAGCTCTGTGTGCATATATCTCTTTTGAATTCACATATATTCGTGTTTGCACAAACAACATTTTTATATGTATATCTCCATAAGCATAAAGTAGAAAATATTTGACACTAATATTAATAACACTTACATACAATTTAATTAAAATAAAAGTCCACATTTAGCATATAATTCGTGTAATGAATATTTTCGCATAAAATTACTTAATTACATTGCGTTACATAATAACATTTTGTTCTTAATAATCAGTAGGTCATCGCGTAACTGGAGTGTATAATTGGCAGCGTACTTCTTTTTACTTGTTCCATCGATCAAAGAAGTTTTAATGAAACTTTTTACGTCTTTGATCAAACACTTTTCCTCAAACGATATTGCCTTATGAATTGTTTCTGAAATTGAGAACAAGCTACAGGACAGAGAATATACCTTTATTTTATCCACAAAGTTACTTTGTTCGATTTGTCGTCGATGACTATTGATAATAACGGCAGATTTTAATCTTATCTTACATCGAATACAACAATGCAAAAGCGGCGTTTTTATCGAGATAAAATCGCAATAATGCTGCACAATATTTCTTTGAGTATACCGCGACGAGTCAATCAATCAATAATATATCAAATAAATAATATCAAATAAAAAACCAAATAATATCAATATCAAATAAACAAATCAATAACCAATAATATTAAATAAACTTTCATATCGATAAATTTCCTATCGTGACGTTCAAATCGTCAATAAACATTCATGTCACATGCTTGTCATAAGCCGATGAGCGAGGTCTGATCTCATCGCTTCAGGGATCGCCAAGCTCGTTCTACATGCGACGGTCCGTCGCAAGCGCGTTGGCCGGACGCATTCGAAGATGCGCTCCGACGTGCATCGGCGTAATCGGAATACCGGATTGTTAAGTATCTCGATCATCTCGGGTATGCATAACGGTAGCTCGTCGTGTAGCTCATTTTGTGTAGCTACGTAAGCGTTCGGCTCCGCGTACTACGGATGGCTGTCGCGCGTACACGCCACCGAGCAGAATCCTATGCAAATATGCTGAAAGCATAGCCGGGACGCTCGCGGGGTTTAAACGCGCTACTTAACTGTGCGTTACGTGTGCCGACAGATCGATTTGTCTAACCCGCCTTCTTGTCTCGCCGCGACCCTCATATTCTCGCCGTCAATGGACACGAAGGCTGGCCGCGAAATGTCATTACGATAACGCGATCAATCGCGCCCGCAAGGGCGCCGATGATGAACGATTGAAGCGGTTTGGCGAGCGTCCGACGTATTCGCGGTTCTACCTGCACGCTCACCTCCTTCGCTCCGAGCGCATTTCCCTCTCTCGTCGTATCGATCTTGTAAACGGAAGAAAGAAATTTTTATACGGTTATTCTCCGCCGCTGCCGGGTAATGCGATTCTGAGCCGCGTGTGCTACGATAAAGGGGCACCGTAAGCGTGTAAACAGGAAAATTGGTAGACAGCAAAGCCGTGGCCTAATCTTGCTTTTGACTTGAAACCGGGACGGCCGATTACCATAATACAATTTATTTCCATAAAGTAGTTGATCGTAAGCGATTACCGCATGTTCGACCGACGAATCCCTTCGCCGTTAGCGCGGTGCTTCGGAATACATTACGAATACATATAGATAGATGGCAAAAATGACTATCGCAGGCACGTAGCAAGCGCATAAATAGATGACAGGTTCAAGAGTGCGATTCGAATTTGATATTGAGGCTAGTATTATTATACATTTCTCGATATCGAAAAATGGCTGATTAAATTCAATGCTGGAATACTCGAAATGCCTATCGTGCATTAAACATTCGCGCGCTCTAATCGGAATGTTGTAACGATCGCTTAATGCATATACGGCGACGTACGAATCACATTATAATGCGATCACCGAATTACCCGCGTATTCCACGTATTGTTTCTTTGTGAATGATGCATTACTTCGCTTCGCGTTCACGCCTATCGCGTCTGAGTATCTCCGCTGTCCCAATCCCCATTAATTTTAATGGATGCCGAGGCCGCAGACTTAATGCTCATCTGCATAATAGACACCTGGAACAATTACAGAACACACGAAAATGCACGCATAACTGCTCTTACTCTCGTGCGTCGGACATCATCACTTTAAAGATCGCGTTGAATTCATAGGTTTGTGAAATGCGCTTTCAAGATTAAATACACGGATTCTATATGCTATGAATTAATAAACATAATTAAATTTATTATTCCTGAAAAGCATCCCTCATTAAACTGACTTTTATTATTGAAAAAGTACAAAATGAAAATGCGAACGAAACCAATATTTCAGCAATATTGTTTATCATGAAATACTGCAAAATATCGGATTGCAATATTAACAACGTCTTTCTCAGCCGCCGAGTTCTCTGACGCTTTCGGTCATTTCTACCTCTCCTTTCGCTTACCACGAGCAGTATCCAATACCCATTAATTTTAATGATGAACGTGGTCAGTTTAACACGTACCGGAGTCATTGTAGCAACCGTGTGGGCAATAAATCATATCCCCTTGTCACTGAAAAGTGCATGGTTCAAATAAGTACGCACGTTATTTGTACACCCTGCCTACACTCTGACTTTCCTCACCCCTCCGGGTACATGTCTACATATGGATAGTTAGAGAACATGATATTATTCTTCAATGCGATCGGAATGGGTGGCGCCGTTATCTATTCAGTTGGAAAAGATAACATGTGTAATTTGCTTGTTTTTTTTTACCTTATTTTTCTTGTAAAACGTTTAAGGTATTTATTTTGTCGGTTTTTCAATTTATTCTTCCACTTTTTAATATAACATTATTTCGCTTTACATAATATTTCTATTCTTTTTAATACAAAGTGTGCTTTAAATATTTAATAATATTTCATTATTTCTAAAATAAATTTTTGTAAACTTAGCTGACTCGAAATTAGTTCAGGATTGTAATATTCTGCATAGCAGTTGGTCAAAGCTACATCACGACATTATTTGCCTACCAGTAAAGTTGAAAAATTACTACGCATTAGCGACGCCACGGCGATGAAAAATTATATAACCGTACCGTAGCCCACTGAGAGCCGGGAGCGAAAGACCACCGCGTAACCGGAAATTATCATAAATTTTATAAGACTGCCTCGGAGAAGAGGGGATGGTCTCACCCGAGAAGAAGGGAAAAAGGAGAGCTAATATCGCTAATATCCCGGCTTATCGATTAGGGTAACTGTGTTCGTACACGACGGCCACGTTACGCACGCCAGCGATGAGGAACACGCGATAAGATGGACGTGCCGCGAAAAAATAATGTGTCTTTTAAATACCGAAATTACGCTAATTGTCGACGACTAACTAAGATTACAAAGGTCGCCCGCCGCGTACAGAGGAGATCCATTTGCCACCCGCGGACGTGCCTGACACAGCAAAAGACCGTATATAGAATGAGAAAACTCGGGAGTGAAGATTTTCTTTGAAAACAAGTACGACTGTTAATGAGACGATGAGTCTCGTTACCTATTCTCTCACTCGTCGCCTACCGCGAATGTAAACGTCCTTGTTTCTAACTTCATTTAAAATTATACACTTGCCGTAGTCCGATCGTTACTGTCGCATCGATTAAGAAGTTATAGCGATTATAGTGACCAGTTAGTGGTTAGCTATATCCGTATATACTTGACAACGTTTGACAGTAGAACGACATAAGTAACGATTTATTGACCCATATTCTATGTATATTTAAAATTCGATTTCCAACTTCTACATGATTATTGCTTGAATCCTTGTTTAACAACTTTGACAGCTCGCAGAAATGTTCTGTAAAGTTTTCATGTAATTCTCATTCAAAAATTTTGACCAGTTCTCCGAGTGGTTCTGATTTTCTCGCGCACAAAAATATACTTCAACTAAAATTATCGCACGCTTCTTTCGGATATAACTTTTCATAAATGTAGCGCAGTTATAACACAGGTCATTCTTAGACCTCTAAATCGTTATAGTTGTCGTGCAACAAGAACGCGAACTGTTGAAAGTAGAATACATTCGCGCCATCAAAGTGAAATATTTCATCGTTAAGGTTGTACGTACATAATAAGTGTGCATGGATTAAGGTTGTCGCACACTGTGTCTCGTGAGAGATGACTATATACTTGCCACAGGCATTTAGTATACAACGACATTTTAAGCCGAGCGTTGTTAACAAGTGCATATACTAACGATCGCACAGCGAATATTTATTTCCTCGCGTTGCAACCGTATTATACTAAAATAGCGATGAAAAAAAGCGCACATTAAAATCACTTGACTGAAGTAAAAAAAAAAAAAAATGTTTGTATTTCTATGTGCTTTCCGATATCCTATAAAAAGCTACAACAACATTTTCGGTGGGCAGCGAAGAGTCGCTATTAATGTGGCATTTTATTTCCGATCTCAATATCACCATTGCGGACGAACGGAAATCGAATGTTACAGCTGCCGCGGAATATTTTCGCCCGGTGCGAAAGCGATGCTTGTTTCGTACCTTCGCGTTGCAACAGCCGCCGCGCTCGCTGTAATGCCTGGC